GTGGGTCAGCTAGCCTTGTAGTGATATATGATACTTCTCTATGCACGACATACTTGGTGTATTGGGTTGTTTTTTTCTAAAGCACCATTTAGGAGCTGAAATGTGAATCTTTCTTTGTCCCAGTTGCTGTTTATCACCTTCATGGGCATGCTGTTTACTGATTAGATGTATCCAGAGTAGGTGGGAGATCTTGACTTCTCTTCATTGTGGCAGACACATAATGTGGTCTGTCATCTTATTTGTTTTACGGTGTAATTTGATAGCCAAGACTGCGCATGTTTGACAGTTGCCAAAGCATTTTTGGTCCAGGCACTAAAGCTCTGCAGTAGTCCTTCTCCCGTTTCCCCATTTTTGTTTTCCCCAAGCCACGACATCCTCCATGCCACCTTTCCTTATCACACTGGGGTATGCTGCATCACTCATGTGCCAGGCAGTCTCTTCTTGAGGTTTCAAACAGTGCAAAGATGATTCCCATGTGTGGTGGAGCCCTGCTTTCCTGGGGATGGCTGAACACCTGCCTGCCGACGGGAAGTAGCGAAGGAATTCCTTGTTTTGCTTTGCTTGCGTGCGCGGCTTTTGCTGTACCTATTAAATTGTCTTTATCTCAACCCATGGGTTCTCTCACTTTTACTCTTCCTATTCTCTCCCCTATCCCACCGGGGGGGAGTGGGCGAGCGGCTGTGTGGGGCTTAGTTGCCGGCTGGGGTTAAACCACAACACTGGTGTGCTTCCTTCTTTGGAAGAGAACCAACAGCTTGAAAAATGAGTATTCTATTTAATAAGAAATTAAAACTAGATGCTTTTTGAGAGCAGAGCCGTGCTCTTGGGAGGCAAGGAGTAATAATCTCACAGACGAAATCACAGGAACGCCCTTTCCTCAGTGAAGAAAAGGTAGTAGCTCAGCAGTTAGTTGCTCTGAGATGTGCTGGTCACCAGGTTCAAGTTCTGGCTGTTTCAGGAGTGAGCCTGAACCACTCAGTGACCTCTGACTCTCCCTCTTTTGGCACTTGTAAAAGTAGCTTAATATTTTGTTGCGACAGATATGATCTCATATTCTCTTAACAAACCATGTGCAGACCAGTCACTGAGGGATGGCCCTGTTCAGTGGAGAGTTCAAAGTGTGGGACAAGGCTTTAAGAAGGAGGCAGTGATTTTGAAGAGGAGAGTTGTTTAATAATACCTGGAGGTTCACAGCGCTGGCTGTCTCTCTGCTCTAAAAATGAAGCTTTGTCAGTGCTGAATTGCTAGAGGCTTTTAGATATCTCCTCACCTTTCTGTTAGTATAGGAACAAAGGACACCAGAAACACCCTTTTTAATCCCCTGCCCCTTTCTGTGTCTCACTTTTGGTTCAGGGTTTTTCTTGTGGGTCTCAAGTTTTTCATGGGTATAGGGAAGTATGCTGCTGTCTCTTAAGTGCAGAGCTCATGGAGGAGGTACTGCGTTAAACCTGTTTGGGCTCGCTGCCCGCTGCTGGGGAGAGGAGGAAGGGAAGAGAGCTGGGTTCCATGGCACAGGGGGGGTCATTTCCAGCCCCACATCTCTCTGTTTCAGCCCCCTGGGCTTCCCTGGTAAAACCTCTCTGGGATCTGAGTGGTTGCAGTCTCTCTTCCATGAAGTTTCAAGATGACTTACTGTTGCCATCTGCTCTTTTGGAGCAAAGCTACTGACATGCTAAAAAATAAAATTCAATGAATTAATAAAATCATAGAATCATAGAATGGTTTGGGTCGGAAGGGACCTTAGAAGATCATCTAGTCTAACCCCCCTGCCATGGGCCAGGACATCTTCCACTAGATCAGGTTGTTCAAAGCCCCAGCCAACCTGATCTTGAACAGTTCCAATGATGGGGCATCCACAGCTTCTTTGGGCAACCTGTTCCAGTGTCTCACCACCCTCATCATAAAAAACTTCTTCCTTATGTGCAGTCTAAACCTACCCTCTTTCAGTTTAAAACCATTGCCCCTTATCCTGTCACTTTCAGGCCTTGGTAAAAAGCCTCTCTCTGTCTTTTTTACAAGCCCCCTTTAAGTACTGAAAGGCCACAGTGAGGTCTCCCTGGAGCCTTCTCTTCTCCAGGCTGAACAACCCCAACTCTCTCAGCCTTTCTTCACAGGAGAGGTGTTCCAGCCCTCTGACCATTTTCGTGGCCCTCCTAACAAGTCCATGTCTGTCTTGTGCTGAGGACCCCAGAGCTGGATGCAGTGCTCCAGGTGGGGTCTCACCAGAGCAGAGTAGAGGGGGATGTTAGTGGTAAGAGAATGTTAATACTTATAGCTATATACCCACTACTATAGTGGGTAGTAAGTAGTTGCTGTGAACAACAAACAATGGTGGATCGGCTTTTTGACAATGGGAATTTCTGCCAGGTGGAAGGCTGCATGGCCTTTTTCATGCTGTTGTTTACTCTACTTTTTCCTTTCTTGCAAGTTGAAACTCTTAAGCTAAATTGTTCTCTGGCATTGTCAGCATGAGCCCAGAGGTCTTTGGAGAAGCTAATTCCTTTGGCTTCTCCCTACTGCATCACCCAAAATAACATCATAGTCTGTCTTTAAGCAGCATATGCTGTTTGTTTTTTATTGCTACTCTAAACATTTGTACTGGTTTGTATTTCCACCTCTGCCTTCTTATGAAGGAATTCCAGCTGAACGATTAATGTCTCCCTTCACTTGAGCTTGTGTTTTTCTGGATAGTGAATTAGAGGCTCCTTACAGTTTATTAATTTCTCTTTTAGCATTATGTAACCTGTATGAGGTTGTAAGTACTTAATGTAAGTCTGAGTAGCATGTTCCTTTATAGCTCATTTTAGAGTCTTTGGCCTATTCCGCTTCAAAATTCTCATAAGCAGTGTAAGTTGGCCAAAATACACACTTCATGTTAATTAAATCTCTTAAATAGAGTCTAATTTTCTTCCTCCTCTTGAAGTTGGTGAGAGATTAGTAATAAAAGAAAATTAGCTGGTTGATAGCATCATGTATTTGATCAGTGCAGAAACAGGATAACCGCCTCAGGTGTATGGTGAACTCTTCATTCTTATGTGAACATTCGACATATTAAAAGTTGACAACTTTATTTGAACATTTATCCTGACAAGATAATTTTATAGAAGATAAGAATTAACAAACTGAGGAAGCACTAGAAAATGTAATGTATGCATTTTAAAAAAGTCTTATTTCCTTCAGTGGGTTTGCTCCTGTTAAAGTTTTGCACTTCAGCAGAAAGCAGTCTTGAAAGATTTGCAATTGATGTTGCTGGAACTAAGATTTTGTTTGAGATTATTCTTTCTAAAACATAAAAAATAATTTGACTATTGCTAATACAGGGTTTTGAGACTAAACGGTTAAGTGTCTGTTTCCTCTCCTGACCTCTTGACTCAGAGAGTGCAATTGTAGTGGGCAACAAGTCAGTAAAACAAAATTATCTTTTTTTTTTTTTCCCTCTTAAGATGAGGAAAGAAAAGTTTTTCTGTGAAGGGTAATTGAGAGCATCCTGAGAGAATAAAATGTTGAGTGTTGATGAAAAGTAAACCTACTTCATCATCTCTGATGAAGTTACTGTCCTAGTTTTGTTTTCATTTCTGTCTGCAAATGTTTTCAAAGAGGTTTAACTTTCTCAAATTCATAAGATACTTCTGACGTCTTGGTTTCTGTCTTGTTCTTGTGTTTTGGCAAGAACTGTGTGTCACAACTTGTAGCTTCCAATAGGCATGGGGGCCATCCAAAATAGTTTCCACTTCCCACTGAGGTATGTTCTTAGAAGAACTTTTCCAATCCAAATAACTGGCATTTATTACTTTTTTTAATTGCTTAGTGTGATACTTGCTTACATTTGCTGTTTTAATGTCTTTTCCTGTCTGTAAACTGAGAGCCACAAAGGGCACATGCGTGCAGTCACTGAATTCAGTTTACATAGCTTGACGGATGTTTTGGGAAAAGCAGATTGTGTGTATGTGCTGTTTGTCACAGATGGCGTCCCAGCAAGAAAAAAAGTTGTGCTAATGCTGAAGGAAAATGAGATGAAAGTAAGTAAATGAAATAGCAAAAAAAGGATGGCCTTAGAGTTTAGCATCATTTTTTCCAGCAGCTTTGGGGAAAGCGGTTAGTATGGCACATGTATGCTTGAGCTCAGCAAAGGTTCTCAAGTTGTGCTATGTAGGCAACAAACAATGGGCAGGAGAAATGTCTCTGGATAATTTTGCTGCTTGGATACTACCAGTGTCCCAATTTTAAGTCTAATATCTTTTTGATGAGCTTTTTGTGAAACCTGGTCACGCGAGTAGGTAAGCATGTTAATTCCATATGAAAAAAAAAAATATATATTGCTAGTCTTTGAGATGGTAAAGAAAAATCTTAGAAGATGAAAAGGTTCTGAAGCTTTAAAAAAGGAAAGGTGGGTAAAACATGGACATTTCACCCCTAATAATTTAACTTAGGTGGGTTGGTTTTTTTATTCAGTTTTGTTTTGGGGGACCTGTGAACTTGTAATGATTTTTAGAGCTCACTAGAATCACACTGTCAAAACCAGAAAATAGTTCGAGTCCTGTGCCCATACGGGAATGCAGATCTCAACCCCTTCCCCTTCTGGCGTACGTAAATGAGGAAAGGGGTTCATTTTTCAGAGTTCGTGATTGTTGGTGGAGGAGAAGAAACAGGACTCACTTTATGCAGCGTATCTCTGAAAACCAAGCTGATGTGCATTATGGACTGCAGGTAGAGTCTGCATTTAAGTTCTGTTGAGGAGGGCTAAGCTGTATGGCAGACTGTTCTTTGCACTGCTATAAATCCTAAACATCCATAAATCTTCAATCCATGCCCTTCACACTTTTAGCCTTCACTGGACTGTTACATTGCTGAAGTCCATTCAGTAGTCTAAGATCCTGAATTAGTTTTTAATTACCCCTTCTAAAGCTTTTCTTCTGGGTTTGTTCTGCTGCCTCTTGGCTTGTAGCTGAAGTAGGTGTATGAACAGTCAGATTAACTCTGGTCCTTCCCTTGCCTTTTAGGACTCCTCAGCGGGCAGACCTCTCCAACCAACACCAAACTGGAAAAGTTGGACCCCCAGCAGGTGCTGCAGCTCTGTCTCCGGTACCAAGATCATCTTCAACAGTGTGCAGAAGCGGTTGCCTTTGATCAGAATGCACTGGTGAAGCGGATCAAGGAGGTACTGCCTGCGGCATGCCCACTTCTGGTGGGGAAGGGCTCGGGGCATCGGCATGGCCGTCTTGTGCTATGAATGCGGGTGCTGGCTGTAAATGGCCTTGGGTCACTTTCAGCAGTCCACTTCAAAGTAAACCCTGTAGAGAAACTTTGTGAGTGTGCACTTTGAGCAGAGTTTCCTAGCTTTGATTGTGGTTACGGTTAGATGATGTGTTTATTGGTTGTGCTCTGTTATTCCTGGTTGTAAACAGTGGGTGTTCCTTTGGTATGGCAAGTACTGCAAGTAACTATTGAAGAAGTAAAAGATGACTGGAATTTTTAAAGGTGACATTCCTTATTTAGGTCTGTATGTGTAACATTTTATTATGCATCGTGGTTAAGCTCTAATTTAAGGAAAGAAATGGTTATCATAACATCATCTGTGGTTGGAGATGGTAGTATTTCTTTCTTTCTTCAATGGATTTGTAGATTTAGACTGTTTTCAAAGTCCATAACAAGCTGTCTCTTCTTTGATCCATATGGCTGCTGAAAAAGATCTTCCTGTGCTGCTGTTTTTACCACCATCATTTGAAAATCACCGATTTGCTTAAATATTCAATAATACTGTTGGGGAAGAAATTAATTCGTGGGTTGAGCATCCTGCGATTGGATTGTCTTTCTCATGTGTGTAACTACCGATACTGGAAGCAGTAGGATGACTGACAATTTTTTTTTTTTTTAAGTTAAGACAGATTGGCATAAGAGGAGATGTTGTTTGAGAATGTTTTCTCACATATTCTCAGATGTGTAGAACTGGAGAATGCTGCATGTGTCAAAAGTCTGTGAGACGAAATACCTTTCAATGTTAAAAGAAAAATTTTTGAACAGGTGGTTAATTTTTATTCATGCAATATAAACAAGGACCTTGATTCGTCGTTGCTATATTGGCTTAGAGTTAAGAAAATCCCACATGACAAACTGGATAATAAATTTGATTCATGGGTTGTTTCGAGAAGCTGCTGTCATCAGGAAGTTGTAAGTCCAAAATAATGTGGGAGACATTAAAAAGGCCTTTTTACTTTGGTGTATCAAGATCTGAGGCCAGCTATTACACAACATGTGAAGATATTTGCAGATGTTGGTGACTCAGATCACACAATCTCAGAAATGGGATTTAATTGCCAGCCTAATGACAGTATACTGCATTAATCCAAGCAGATTGTAATTCTTTTGGCTGTTAAAGTGTGAGAGGAAATATTGACATGATTTAAAGTCATGGTACACTCTACCAGTGCAATCTGCACTAGTTGTATTTGCCTTCTATAGGGCAAGTGGCAGACTGTCTTTCAAATTAGCATTGGTGATGTTTTCTTCCAGTTCGTAAGGCTTACTTTTTTTTTTTTCCATGTAAAATAAATACAGTGATGATATCGGTATCGTCACTGGCTTACTTTATTGCAACGGACTTACTTTATTGCAGGCTCCTCTCTGACAAAGTGAAGGAGAAATGGGTGACTCTGTTACTTGGGCAACTGACAAGTCAGTTGAGGGTTTTTTTGGTCAAAACACTTAAGTAACTGCAGATGCTTTCAATCCCTCTGCCAGATCTAGTGGGTTTTTACTCTTCATTTTCCTAATAATTTTTAAATGTTTTTCTTGCATTGGCTGTTCTGCGTGTGTGTTCTGGAGGAGCCGGGTGGGACCCACTCAGCTTAAATCATTCTTTCCAAATTGTTTGGGCTCTCCTTGGTGTGCTAAATCGAACCACTGTTGACAGTTGTTGACAACAAGGGGTGCAGCTGAACTAGAGCAGGGTATGTCTCTCGTTACAAGGGCAGACAAAGGAAATGGTGTCTGGCTGCACCCATTTGTCAGCAATGATTTAGTTTTGCTGTGTAGACAAAGCTTCGACCCTTGGTAAAGAGTAAAAATGAAAGAGAAAATGGAAGTGTATGGTGAAAAGCATGATGTGTGCATGACATGGACAGTAAATTCTTTTTATCCTCATTTTAGTAGTCAGTATTCCCCTTTACACTGTAAGCATTGAAGAGTTTTTCTTCCGATAACAGACTTATCAAGGGATTGATGCTTTTAACTTTCCTACAAAATGTTGGTGAGCTTCAGTCTCCAATTCCTTCTGAGGTACGTTTGCTTTTCAGACTGTCACTGACTGTACTCAGTGTAGTAATAGTCCTACTGTATAGCATGCTACAGTCATACTGCCTGCAGCCAGGATTTTTTTAAGTCATTCCTTGACAAAATGTCCCAGGGCAAATATCTTTTGCTCATTGTCTGTGTGGCCAGAAAAAAAGTTCCCTGGTTTTTGGCAAAACTCAAAAGTACTGTTGTAAATTCATTGGTCCTCGATAACTCATAATTGACTGCGGTGGTTTGTAAATCAGCAGACAATCTGAATTAAAATGGTTCTTAATAGGCAAGAGAATGAGCTAAGGAAAACAAAAACCTTGCATGCCAGGAGTTACTGCGGATCTAAGTAGACCCATCTGTGCGTTCCCTTACTTTGGGGACCAAAACAGTCTAGCTTTGCTCTCCATCCCATTTTCCAGTTTAGCCAGAATTTCTTTGCAGCGTGTTGGCTGGATCCATATCTGCTCCTAACTGTAGAACCTGTGTGACTTCCATCTTGCTGTGACTGTTCTCTTTCAAGAAGAAATACATGTACCCAAGCGTTTCCTTGAAGGGGAAGGAATTGAAGATGTGATTGAATGTAGTTGACTCAACTGCCTCTCTTCAGCAGTTACACGTACTTGTACCCGAACTGTTGGTTTTGGAAGGGATTGATTTTTATCACAATAGGCTTTGTCTTCACTGCCAAAAAAAAAGGATGTGCTTGCATCTTTTTAGGGAAAAATAACCATTATACATTAAATATTATGTTTCATATTAATTTTTGGCAGCTGACTCACCATCTGTTGCAACACTGCATTAATTCCAGGACCACTGAAATATTTAGGATTCTTTTAAATTTTTTTTCTCCTTATCAGTTTGAAAAACAACAGAACAGCAATTTGGGATTTATGCATGTGTTAATCCAGGGTTATGGCATCTCACAAAATTTGACAGTTTTCAAGAAAAAAGCCTGTGTGCAGCATTTTCTGGGTAATTTGTCTACTCTCTGGTATTTTGTAGGATGAAAATTTTTAGCTTATTAGATGAATCACCACATTATTGACTTCTGGGGGCATTCTGTTCAGATGGGTCTGGGAACAGGATCTAGTCTGGCTACTGATGGTATGTTGGACCCACATGAGCTTGTTATATGTGTACGCTAGGAAAAAGGTGCATTTTTAAAACCCATTAGATAATATGTTATAAAATGCTAAGATATAAAAGGCAATTATAGCTTGTTAACAGACTAAACTGATCTTACTGCAACTTGGAGCTTTTACCAGTGTGTTTAACGATGGGGACAGTTGACAATGCACCTTACGGAGAACGTTATACTTCACGCTAAAAATCTCAGGGGTGAACCATGACTCGCTAAGCCAGGATAAAACAATCTCGATCTGCCTATTCTTGGGTGTTGTATATATATTAAAAAAAAAAAAAAAATCTCTTTAGTGTATATCTGCATGAGGACAAAAAAGGCTCAACTGTAATGTTCTTTCTTTGTTTCTGTGGTGGGTTTAGTGTCCTAGCTGTAGAGAGGAGGTCTTACCTTGCTGCATCCCACGTCCGTCTCTGCCATGACAATGCAGTGGGTCTGCATTATAACTAGTTTGAAGTTTTCAGCAACTCCAGCTGCTGTTGGATTTGAGAGCTGCGTGTGCTCTCTTCTCTTCTTTCTCCAAGACTGTCTGCCTCAGTTTTGCGATCTGTAAGATGGAGGGTTTCTGCCAAGATTAGCTTGAAGATAAATGTTGACCAGCACTAAATATTAGGTGTGACTGGGGGGAAAGAAGCAGATGAGGCAGGCAGAGGGCTACTTTACATTAAGTCCGTATCATTGGAGGATGTGTCTTCTGGGTGGCAGGGAGAGAATTTGGAAGGTCATCTCATAGGGGATGGTGAATAACAAAGAATGGGAAACAGGTAGGATAGGTAAAGGCTGGGGAGGAAAGCTAAATTTTTGGAAAGGGCCCATGATTTTTTGTGCCTCCAAAATTGTCTAGTTTCAATGTCTTAAAAAAGATTATTTTTCATGTGTTAGATGCTAAGCTTCTTAAAAATCACATCCTTCAAAATAGCTGAAGCTGAGTATCCAAAAATTACTAGTCTCACTTGAAAATTTAAGCCTAGCTTCTTTCTATGAAAGCAAAAGGGAAGCTGAAAGCTATCTAAGGTCCTTTCAAAGAAGGTTTGAAAAAAAAGGTCTTCAGCATTTCTTATTAGACTTCCAGTGTTGGCAAAGGAGATGTGCTACTCAAAGTATCCTATATACCCTTAAAGGCAAATGTAGTTCCTAGATTAACTGTACTTGAAATGTATTAAGTGGATTATTAGGAGGGCTCTTACACTTTGCCCTAAACCCAAATATCAGTACAGTGTATCTGTAGCTTTTATTGCCATAGGCAACCCAGGCTGGCAATAATTTTGAAAACAGAACACTTTTTACAATACAAAATGAAATTAAAAATATCCTAGTGTAAGATGACACACGCCTACAGGAAAAAATTAACACCTTTTCAAATAATCAACATTACTTTTATATTTTTAACAAATGTGATGGCGGAAGAGTTAACAACTTTTGTCCAGGCAGGCATTAATATCAGTAACTGGTTTGCTGTATAGCAAATTAGTGTATGGCTTGTTTCATACCTGCAAATTCCTGTATGGGAATGGCTTGTTATTTTGAAGAAATATTCCAGAATAAGATGTGTATGGATTTTTTTCTTTTTTCTTTACCAGCTTGCTGCAAAAAGTAATTGTAATGGGCTTCTCTAGTATGTAGTTAAGATGTCCAGAAATACAACCCTTCATATTTGGCAAGTAAATAATTTTTGAAGCCACGCATACACCACATCGTGTCTCCCAATACATTTTAGCTGTTTAAAATTATGGATA